TCCTTTTATCTTCTTCCTACTTTTCCTCAGGAGCAGAGATTGTTGAGCTGCTATTAAATATTATTTCTGGTTGGAAATAGGAGGAAAGGTTGATTTTCATTCCAGCTGAGCAAAATCTTTTAATTTACAGAACCTCCCAAGCCACTCTAATCAATTAGAGAATACATTTATATTTTGTTTTGATCATCAACTAATTTTGATTCTTCTAGTTTGTTGATTAAGCTCTGATTAAACATCTGCCTCTGACAATATCTAGCCTTTAAGTGGTATCGTATTGTGAAGAATCCATTCAAAATACATATTTCCTGCCTTTATATGACACCAATTTTGAAAGCAATAGCATAAAGAACAGTAAAGAAAGAGAGTGATCAACAGCTAGCAAACAAATCCTATTCACAACCACAAGTTGATTTACATGAATTGTGAGTATTTCTATTTGTCTATGGTAAATCTACGGATTCAGCTCAGGGATTACTGAATGGAGAAATATAAGCAACTGCCTGGCATACTAATAGGGAAATCTCCATAGGGCACTCCACCTTTTCTGTACCACAGACTAAACCAGATTTTTTCAAACAATGGCACTGTTAAGAAAATGCTCACTGAATTAGCACTTTAGCTAGATATATTTTCATCTAAAGAACACTGTGATTAAGCAAGCTTATCTCTATAAATGGGCTGTATTTTAAAGGAAGACAAATTAGTTAGGATAACACAAGGACTGATCCATGCCTTGCCCCATAGCATGAAGGAAATATTAAGAACTCTATCTTCTTCTTTTTTCCTTCTTTACTTTAATCTCATCTTCATTCAGTTGCATTCCTGATTTGTGACCTCCTTTTTGTTTCCACATTTTCTTTTTTTTGTCACCAGGAAAGAACTAGGAAGGATGGAACATGAGGGATGTCTGATGAATAGATCCAGAAGAAGCTCTGGACTCAGCAGGGCCATGGCTGCCCATGGTACATTGAAGACCAGCAGCACCAGATCCAGGATGCCATGGGAGATGTTCCCTTCTCCTCACTGCTCTTTTCTGTGCTGGTAGTGAATGCTGGAATTCTGGGAGATGGTGAGGGCCAGGAATGTGGCACCCGAGCCCTGAGCTGGGCTGAACAGAGTAATCTTTCAGCCAGGTTGGAACAGATAAGAGGGAAGGTGGCAGGAGATTAGGACCTAGTTTGGAACATGGTCACACACACACAGGGCTGAGCTCTTGAAAGGATTCCTTGATAGTGTCAAAAGGACAAGACAGACACGTGGTGGTTGTACAGGACAGCAAAGTGCTGCTGCCAGGCTGTGAAGTCACAGCCGTATTGAAATCCTGGCTCAGGGCAGAGAAACGCAGGAGGCGAATCTTGAAAAATGCAAATGTATTTAGATTTAGAGGAACTCTGCTCTCAAATAGTAGAGCCACACTACCACAGAAATACCTCAGGAAGAAGAGTGGATAATTGTTAAAATCATCAGACTGCAATGAGCTCTTGGTAAGCTCTTTGATCTTAGGGATACAGACACCCAGCTCCTGACACAGCCCAACAGATTCCCTTTTCCTGCCTCTTCCACAGTTATTAGTTTTCCCTGTCTATTCACTCACTCAAAGACAGGTCCTACCTACCACATCACTGGAATGAGCACTGGGTCCATACATTAGTCCCTCTATTTCATAGAATTGAAAAAAGAACAAAAAGAGAAAGTTACAGAAAGCTGGTGTTAAGGGAAGATAGTTATTTCCTTGTGTACAGAGTACAGGGTTAGAAACTTATTTGTTGAGGTAAAATAGGTTTTGAACACCTCTGATTAGCTGCACCTTCCTCTTTTACAATAGTAAAATTAAAAACCAGCAATGGAAACAAAAATCACGTGAGGTCATAGCAGCAGTATGACACATCTGATGTAGCATGTTTCCTCCACAGAGTAGCATATTCCTAAGGTACCTCTTTGGTCTTGTATTTTCCCCATAATCTATCATGTCTGAATAAATGTAAACCTAAGACATATTTAAAGCATTCACTGTTTTGAGCTGGCATTAGGGCCTGTGAATTTATCTCTCTCTCTCTGCTGTAATTATTAACATTCTGAGTTGCTTCACAATTAACAACTGCTGCAGGTGATTTGTAGGGAGGAATAAAAATATGAAAAAATATTTGCTTTATAAATAGCAAGGTGAATATAAATAGCAATAGATCATGGTTTTGTCATATTAACAGAAAGTGAAAAATTCTTATCTCAAGTTTTCTGATTCCTTTTCTCCTAAAAAAATCTTACACCTATGTGCAAAATATTTATATTTTCCCCTACTAATGGAAAGCCATAATTCTTCTCTGGTTGCACAGTCTGGAGAAGAGATCTGGTCTATTAAGCAAGTGATCTTGCTTGAAATATTACCAATTATATATTGACCCAGGCTAACAAATCCATCCATACTACATGCAAGCAAAACTCCCATCTACTCAGTCAGTGAGAAAAAGCCACATGTGTGCTCTGTGAGATGCTCCCTTCTTGGTATCAAGGATGCCATCTTGATGCCAACATCCATTATTTGTTTTATGCTGCAGATGCCACCACCAGGTTCAGTCACGCCCACCTAACAGAACTCTATATCCATGTTTCTAACAGGGTTTGACAGTGCAGATTCTACAGACATTCCCTGGGTCTGATGGTTCTCATATCCAGGCCCTCAAATCCCTAGTACAGGGAACACCGTAAGTAAGCACCATACCTAAATCAAGACTATCTCAGAGGAGAAAAGTACTTTTTCCAGGGCATCCCAGTTGTGACTGCCACGCACCCCCCACTTCTGACTGTGGAATAGCTAATTCAAGAGAGACTGAACGAAAAAGAAGACCCGTAAATAATTTTCTATTCATGAACTGTTGCTTAAATGTGAACTACTACTTAGCAGTTCAAGAGAGGCTGGATTGTACTTTCCAGTACTGTTTGGACTGGCCAGTCTTTTCCAGTGAAAAACTTGGCTTTCAGGAAACCATGCCTTCTGCAACCAAACCATTTTGTTCTAAAGGCTGCCTAGAGACTGTTACATGTGCTCAGGTAACAATGACAGATTTCAGTCTACTGCAGTTAAAATGTTTCACTTCAAACATGCTTTTAGACAGAATGCCAATATGTGTCATAATCAACCTCAAGCTCATGCTGAGTAGCCTTCTAGTCTTTGCTAGTCCTCCTGAGGACCAGGTTAGACAGTTCTCACAAGAAAGATTTTCCATTTAAATGTATCAACCTTTCAAATCTCAAACAGTCGCTACTATATGAGACAGCAGAGACAGTAAGCACATAGTTTCTGTGGGTGTATTCACACCAATGAGGCCACTCTGGGTGTGCTTTCCTCTTAGTTCAAGCTGTGGATTTGCAGAACATCAACACCTAAACTGTCAGTCTAATTAAATGTTCATGAACAATATTCAGTCCAAATAATTCACCACACCGAATAAACAATTCTATTTGCCAGGCTTGATGATAACAAACTTTTTGTTTCCATTTAAACACTTCTGTTTGTTCTGCTATATCCCATATTTTATGTTAAATTACATACATTTTACAGGCCAGGTAAGAAATCTAGTGATATTACATAATGCTGATCTCACTGCAAAAAACCAAGTATCTTCTCAATTGTAAGTAGTTTGCCTATAGAAAGACATTATGGATATCCTAGAGCTAGGATTCTTTAAATGTCTTTACATGTAGAATAATAGAAGTTCATAGTAGAAAAACAGAAGTTCAGAGTGTCATCTGGAAGTATCTTTTATCTTGAGGCCATTCAAACAGGGAACAACCAGTGGAACAATGAGGGAAGTTTTGAAAAAGACGAGGTCTGAGGGAAACCCTGGATCCCTTTATGGATAGTGGCATGACAGCTTTAATAGTGGGAAGCTGTCTAGCTGATCTCAAGTTATGCTGTGGAGACTCTCCTCTTTTAACACATATCCAGGGGAACATGTCAGAAAGTGTCTCCACAGGCCTAGTTCTATGATGTGGATTTTGACACAGATGCTGTTCGTAGTCACAAAAGTAAAAGGAAGGAAGCAGAGTGTAAATTGAATCTAAATGGGCTCCAGCACAGCAAAAATAAAAACATTTCTTGAAATCAAATTTTCTTTTCAATCCCGTCAATAATTTGCACTTGCAGTTTTACTATGCAGTTTTGCTGATCAAGCGCTCCTAAAATAAAGCAGTTGAACAGAGTAGGTTCCTATCTTCTAATGATGAAGCCAACCAGAAACTGGAGATGACTGACAATTAGTTACTTACCTTTGCTGTAATTATGGTATTTGGCCAGTAGCTTTTATTGAGGTAGGTTAGAATTTCTTGCTCATCTGAAATAACTACTGCTTTTACATGAACTTTTTGAGGTTTCACTGGCCATTCAAGGCATAGAAAATTTCCCAGGTGCCCATTTAAGAATATAAAGATATCAAAAACTGGGTAATTCATGGAACTCTTTATAGAAAACCCAGGCTTTTGAACCAGTATGAAATAGTATACTGGTTCTACCTTGAATGGTGTGAAAAGTAGCTCATCCACAATTCAATCATACTAAGAAAATATTGTAATTCTAATCATTACATAAGGAGAGCAAAATCTGACTACCAATCAGTGGAGAAAACAGACAATTAATATCTTAATTCAGCACTCCTTGCATAATTTCACTAGAACTGTACTCACCACTTCAGCAGGAGTTGCTGCTGTGCACACAGCAGATGCCAAGTCTGCTTGCTGTTTCGTGGAGGGTGAAAGAGTTATTGGAAGAACTGACAAAGTACTTCCACAGAACAGTGCACAACAAGACCCAGTGAAAGTCCAAATCTAACCATGAAATCATCCTGAACCCTCTAGAAATATGCAGAAGGCTCTCAGGAGAAAACATGAGTTATTTTCTAAGTACAAACTGAAGGCAAACCTTAAAAATGAAAACCGATCAATAAGCACAAGAGCATTAGAAATAAGAAATTAGAAATTTCTTAATTAGAAAATTAAGATCTTACCGTGGTTGTGGTCAATAAATCCTCTTAGGCTTGGTTTAGTTCTGACGCAGTCATTTTCTGGGTTTCAGCAGATTCCACAGTTCCCTCTATGCACCAGGAGAAGTGTCTCTGACATGTTGCACTTTTGTCAGGTTGTCTGTCCCTGTCTCTTCCATCAGTCTGCACTGTGCCATGATGCTTCCCTTGCTGGGCTCCCTTGGATCTGGGAGCTGCTCTCCCAACAGCATTTTCAGTAGCTCAAAGGGCACAAAAGTATCCCTTCCTTTCCAAACAGTCTCTCATCTCACAGACATTTCCTTTCTGAAGAACAAAACATATGAATAAATAAAATATGTATTGACAACCATGATAAGGAAAAGAACTCTTCAATATAAGTACATTTTTCTGTACATTTTCCCACATTTCCTTTTATCTCAGAGGGTCTTCTTTTAATTTCTAAATAATTTCATTTGTGATGATTTTAATTAAAACAGTAACCCTCCATATATATATATGTTAATTACAAATACACTACAGATACAGAAGTACCCACCTTTTTTTTTTTTGTGTACAGGTGTTTTATTCCTTGCTAATAAATAGTAGGCTCATGCAGAGATGTATGATAAGAAGGAAACGTCACCAAACAGCTAATTATTAATATTTAAAATTTTGTTATATTGCCACAGAGACCTGCATTGGCATCTGCATATCTTAATTAAACAGCAATTTAGGAAAAAAAAATTATTATCCTCCATAACCTGTCTGATCTTGATTTATAGCATTGGAATTTGCTTTGGTCCACCACCAGTGGATTTGTTCTGGATTTATAGAAAACATTTTATTGGCAAAGAATACAGATTTCATATAACAATTGTGATTGAGTGCAGACATTAAATGTTTAGGAGGAAATGCTTTTCTTAAAAAATATTTAGTAAGATGTCCTCTGGAAAGAAAGCCCTTTCATTCACCTCTTATCACTGCTGCCCAGCCACTGCTGTTCCTCCAGGTTTTGTAAAGATCCAGATTTGAACAGGTAAGAGATTCGAGGCAGTGCCACCACTGAGAGCAAGGCAGGCAGGCTTTGGTCATCAGGTAGATGACAGCTTAACAATTAACACATGCACACATTAACACCACCTGCAGAAATGCTGCCCCTCTAGAGATGGAGACTTGCCTGGAGTATTGTGGCAGGAGAGAAGGTTTAGGAAGCAGGGAGAGTGAAGTCTGAAAGGAAATGGGCCTCAAGCTTGTTTCTGTAACACAGCACACACTGCTATTACTGAATAAGGCTGTTCAACAAGGAAATCACTGTTAGAGTGCAAGGTTAAAAACCCTGTCTTTGAGGCAGTAGTGTTGTAACACCAGTGCTCTCAGGACAGGGAACCACTGCTCACAGTAGGTACTATATTATTAGAGGAACTGGTATGGTTGGAAAGAATAAGTCCATTTTCCCTGTACCTTATTACTTCTCAGGTGGAATAATGTCCTTAAATCACGTCCTTTCTCATTCTCCTCTCATTTCCAGCTTTTAGGCTGTCATTTTAATGTACTTTTCCCTCCTCGCCCTACAACAGGGCTCCTGGCCTTAAATGTCAAATACATTGTCTTACAATCATCTAACAATTAAATAAGCTACCAGATTTAGAATACAGTTACTATAACCCATTACTTTTAGAACATCTATAAGACTTGGATGATTACCTCCAGTTATTCCTTCCAATTGCAACTATTTTATGATTCTATGGTTATAATTTATAATCTTAAAAATTCACGAATCAAGACATTCTGTCTGCTGAGAAGAGAGAGATTGCTAGCACATAGAAACAATTCATTGGCTTGGCCATTCCTTTTTAGGGCTCGCAACACTACTGTTGAGGGAATTCCCCACAATTGGAAGGAGCAGACTGGCAATCAGAAAGTCAGTTAGTCATCTTGGTTTTATACTCAGTCCTTAAAGGTTTTCCAAATTTTCTCTCCTTTAGAAAACCAAAGCATCTCAGAGAAATACATTTTTATAGGGATGGCTGGCAGAAGGGAAGGCTCAGCTGAATTAAGCTGAGAAGTCATGCACTGGGTTTCAGTGAAAACAAACCGAGCCCTTAATTGATGCAAACTTATTTGGGGATCACTAAATATGCAATGACCAGAATCAGATTATTTTGGACCACGGCCATGTTGTGCCCTACTGTTGGTGCCGTCCTTTGAGCAGATTGCTGAATTACTGCTGCTCACAGCAAACACTGAAAAACAACTTCTCAGCTTTACTGTTCATATGCTCAGGAATCTCACAACCTCCAGCACAGGGCAAGCAAGGAGAATTGGTTATTTATCAGGGGTTTTGATGAGGGGAAAATGCAATGCTTCTGTGTTGTGTTTTTTTGGGGTTTTTTTTGGTTTTTTTTTGGGGTTTTTTTTTGTTGTTTTTTCTGGATTGAACGTAAAAAGCAGAGCTTTTCCATTGTTGTTTGTTTTTCTTTGGGGTTTTTTTTTGTTGTTTTTTCTGGATTGAACTTAAAAAGCAGAGCTTTTCCATTGTTGCTTGTTTTTCCCTTAGAGGAGTCATTAAAACTGATTGCTCTGGCTGATTTACAAGAACTCAGGTTAAAACAATAAAGAACTAAAATGCTTGCTGAGAGGATAATGCAATTTGCTTTTCTAGTTATATCAGTGCAGGTGGGCACAGCTCTGAGTCTGAGCATTCCTATAGAAAATATCCTCAAAGCATCATGTTAATAGACAATAGAAAACAGTCAGAACATTTTTCACAGAAAGGATAATTCCTGGAGGCAGAATATTTTCTAGTGAAATGAAATAAATTAACTTTTTAAATTAACACTGTGTGACTTATGCAGATATTACACACTAACTAACCCTTTCACCTCCAGTTAAAAATAGTTTGCTGATTATAGGAAGAGCAAACTAGATTAACCCTCTATGCCATCAGGTAATTTTATTACTCAAAGGTCACAAAATATAAAGCAAAGGAAACCATATGATCTGAGATGAGAATTTCTATGCCATTCCTTAACTTAATACAAATATGCATAATGGCAATCCTTTTCAAACTGACAATGTTTCAATGTAAATCAAACCCACACACATCTCTCCAACAAATACTCCAAAAAAATCCCTTATTACTTTAAAGCAAACGATCCAGCAATCAGCAAGTGCCTGATGGGAAGGTGGCAGAGAATACTTGTCCTGCTTGACTAGAGCTGCATAGCCTGTGACAAAATTTGTTATTACAGCTGTATTTTCAACACTGGAATATGAAAGTCACCCTGCTGTGGATGCTTGGTGTAGTCCTTCCCCTTTCTTTAGGTTCTTACTGCTAAATCCTAGGGGGAAGTAAGAAAGACCCAAATGGATCAGCTGGTGCATCCACCTGCCCCAAATCAACTAAAGCATTTCTGACAGATGGTTCTGTAACCACTCTAAAAACCTCCAGCTTCCCTAGCCTCTATATGTAATCTATTCTAGTCCTTAATTATCTTTGCTACTGGAGCATTCTTTCTACAAAGCTCCTCCTAAAACTGCTTTTGTTCCAGTTTAAGCATATTACATTTTTCCTCACAACTTGAAGAGAACAGTTTGTTCCTCTTCCTCCTTGCAGAAACTTTTAAAATATTTAAAGCTTGCTGTATCTCTCAGATGTTTAGGCTAAAATTCAGTTCCTTCCATTTTTCCTCACAGGCCAGTACAATATCAGACAAAGCTTGTAAGAGGACAAGACAGAGAATATGAAGCTGCATTTTCTACCACTACCTGGAATTTCAGTCTGAGGAAGTTAAAGCAGAGTTTAAAAAGAGTCAAGGCACTTTCCATGCAGAAATTGAATTATGCTCACATCTGAAAGCTTCTTCTACTTTGGCACTTACAGGAGTCTTATCAAACAAACAATGCAGCCACCTTTCAGCAAAGTGGCACAGGTAGAGTTCAGAAAGGTTACAGGCAGTTTCAACTACCTCTGAAACAAACTATGAAAGAGCATCAGGAAAAGTTTTTTCTCATTTCTTCCAATCAACCCAAATATTCACATTTACATAATAACAAATCTTGCTATTTGGAGAGTTTCTTCTTAACGATATGGAAAAGATTGTCCAGGCCACCAGAGCTGCTGGGCTGACAATCTCAGCAATCACTGGGTCCAGCTGAGGTCTTTTTCTGCTTAAAGCATAGGAGAGTGTGCCATTTGCCTTCTCTACCATTTGCTAAGCTCCAGCTTATCCAGCATACTTGGTGCCATTGAAGTCTTCTTGTATTCCTGATTACTTTAAAACCCATCCTGGGCCTTCCCCATTGAGAAAGCAGCATAAAAATACTGTGCATTTGGCAATAAACAGATTATTGTGGAAGATCAGTTTTCAAAATAGGAGAAACCTTGTTCATCCTGCTTTAACATGAAAGCAGACTGCATTACCAGTTTTTGGCTGTTTACTTTGCACGTGTTAGAAGTGCTACTGACAAGTTCAGTACTTCCTGCAGTGGCTGTGCCTCAGAAAGGCAGGGGCAGGCAGAGGCAGAGCTGTGCCTCTTACACTGAAGTTGTGCAGAGGCACTTTGTTTAGCAACATGGGCTGCAGGCTTCTCACAGAGAGCTGTGCAATATTTAATGGCCACTACAAATGGAGGATGCAATTCCTCACTAAGATAAGAAAGCAATCTCAAAATTAAATCTGCAGTTGGATGTACGTGGCCAGGCCCCCTCATGTTTCTTTGCTAAGGCTCGTGAGGAAGGAGACCATTACCATGATGTGTTCAAAAGAGTGCAGAGGGAAAAAGCATAGCTTTACATCATCTGATAGAGATTAGAAATGTTTAGTTGCATTCACAGATCAAACAAGTTAGAAAAATTTATAGCTCTTTAGATAACTACTGATTTTGGAAAAAAAAGAAATCAAATGTACCCTATTTTTCCCTAATTTTTTCCTCTATAAATTGACAATTTCTCTAACTTTTCTATATATTTACTCTAGAAGGGAAAGTTAGAAGATAATTTTTAATGGGTGTAAAACAGTGAATATGTAGGAGAGCAGCTAAGCCTCATAAGAATCCTTCTGATAATAGAGCTTGCTTTAATTATACAGATGAGAAGTCAGCAAATAGCATTTTATATGCAGTCTTTGAGACAAGAAATGCAGTGCACAGTCCAAAATACTAGAATTCTAGTATCAAAGGAAACATATTAATCCTTCCAGCCCCAGTCTCCTTCTTCTGATTTTTAAATATATGACTAAAAAAATAGAGATTTGTGATAGTCGAAATTAGTACAGAATAAGAAAACCTAGTTTTAAATCACAGGCCCCAAGTGATGTGTTGTATCTTTGTTGCAGCTATCCAGCTGCAGGTACACTGGATTTCTTTAGGTAGAAGAAAGGACTCTGGAGCAGAGAGGCAAGAAAGAATTTCCCTAAGGTCACCCAGAGGCAGGGACAGAGCCATATGCCTGAGTTCCAAGCCTGTGTTCCTTTGACTGCCAATATCAGGAGCACTGACATGGATGCAGTTTGCTGTTGTGCCAGGTAACACCACTCTGATCAGTACAGCCAGTTCAGGCTCTCTAAAGAGAGCAAGCAGGTTAATTTATGTCATCAGTATATGGCAAAGTGTAAATAAAGCAGCTGCAAAATAAATATGAAGCAAAATCATAGATTCCACGCTGGCCTTAAGCATCTTGCTTTATAACCAATGCTTACTTCAGTGTTAGGAGGTTGAGGGTAATTACCTTCAAAGCACAGGTGTCTGTCACAGTGAGTCCTTTCTCCACCCTTGATGGATGACATTGACAGCCAGTTGGCATTTCAGGACAGTCCATGCAGACCTTTCAGGCCGTACAAGAGGGGGGGGAAATAATAAAAAAAGGAAGTAATTACAATCACCAAAGACACAAAGCTCCTTCTGCCTTCATTCTTATTCTATGAGCATTCCCCTTTCACCTTCCACATTATTAACCATGTTTTCAACAATGGAATAAAAGCTAGCAAGCCACTCATCTAAGGCAGATGGGAAATGTCAGGTTAAAATCACAGGTTGGGATGTAAAAATACAAATGAACTCACAGCCTTTACAATTTTTTCGGTTTGATTTGTGAATAAAGTGTGGATGCCGATGGGAAACATTAATTCTCCAAATGGCTTTGGCTAGCATAACTCTAAATAAATATACAAGCATGCTGGTTTTCTCTTAAAAATGTGGTGGTTGCACTCACATTATAATTGCTAAGTGATATTTGTGTTCAAAACAGCACATTAATCATAAGAGACATGACCTTTAGAAAGATAACATTCTTGCTCTTTTTATTTTGTTTGGTTTTACCTTGGGACAAGATACTGCATAAGTTAAGGTAGGTCACACTTAATACAAATGGAAGAAAGGAGACAGTCATTTAAAACATGCCATCTATGATTTTTACCTAGGAAAAATACATTTGTGTGGAATTGTTCCTATAAAGTTCAGCAGAGCACTGGAAATCTCTAGGCCAGCTAAACTTAATTCAGCTACTGCCATAAGAGACAGACAAAATGACTCTATGTTTTCCCATTAATCCAGCATGGGGATGGAAAAGGAAAATCTTCATCCTATGCTGGATTCATGGGGAAACACAATGACCAACGATAGGTAAGGCTGAAGTACTTAATGTGTTCTTTGCCTCAGTCCTTCACAGTAAGGCCAGTTGTTGCACAGGTACTCAGCTTCCTAAATTGGGAGACAAGGATGGGCAGCAGAATGAAGCCCCCATAATCCAAGGGGAAATGGTCAGCAATCTGCTACAAGTGATGACATGAAATGGCCTCAGGCTGCACGAGAGGAAGCTTAGGTGGGATATTAAGAGAAATCTCTTCACCCAATGGGTTACTAAGCATTGAAACAGGCCGCCCAGGGAAGTGCTTGGGTGTTGCCACTTCTATCGCCAAGGTTCTGTACCTTCTCAGTGGTTTCTCAGGCGCAGCTCCTCACAGCACTGACTCCACCTTCTCTGCCCAGCCAACAAACTCCATCTCCACTCTTGACCAGCCAACCTGCTCTTTTATAATACCCCTCTTAACTGGATCCAGCTGTGGCCTGTTAAGGGCAGGCTTGTTCTTAATGCTTGATAATTGGCACAGCTGTAACTCTTTAGGGGTGAGATTACTTTCACCACTACCTCTAGTCTCCTACCTTCTATCTATCCACACTTGGGAGCTATTTAAAAGGTGTGTACATGTGGTGCTTAGGAACATGGTTTAATGGTGGTTAGAATATCCGAGATTAAAAAAAAAAGTATAAAAATTAAAACCAGTAACTTTCAGAACAAGTTATTTTTCCATGTTGTTTGAAGCTTTTTATCTGGACAAAAGAGGCACCACTGTGAAGCAGTAAAGACATTAAAGACCTCATTGTTCCAATATATGTACAGAAAGTTTGATCTGTTTTACTCCCTTCAAGACTCTAGATCATAGAGGTCATTTCAATGAAAGTCATAATGAAAAAGCTTCAAGCAAATATGCACTCTCTTACACTTGTGCACATGTATGAACATATCTATAATTCATAAAAACTTATAAGAAGAGGGATCAGAAAGGAAAAAAATTGAAGTTAATTCTTATCAACCATCCAAGATGTTTGGTGTGAAGGGGCTTAGATACGTACCCTGCATTTGCAGATCCCATCCCCCATAATAAAATTATGTGATCTGTCAGAAATGAAATCGCATGTCATGAAATACTGCACAACTCCATAAATAATTAGCGTTTCCATTTTCCAAAACAAATTGATAAAACCTGTATTTGGCTTAGTTTTTGCAGTTCAAGAAGCTCTGTTAGGCTTGTGTTGTTAATTCAATCTTCCACAGCTGGACTGATAAAAGCAGAGAATTTTGAACTGACCCCTTTTGCCAGTATGAAGGGCAGGTTAGATTTAAGCAGTTAAAGGAGGTTCAGAGTCAACAAGAATGCCTTTTAGGACACAACAAATAGTATGAGGATCTTCAAATTTACATTTTAAAGAATCTATTAAAACTTAACAATTCCTCTGTTTAATTCATTGAGAAGAATCCAGTGGTTGTGTGGAATAAGGCATGAAACTTTCTGCCCATATATTGCAGCAGTCTGAATCGGGTGTCATTTGCACCAAAGGCATTCTGCATTTTTGTGATACCAACATAACCTTCCAGAGAAACCCCAAAGGAGTAAAAACCTCAGTGATCAATTGATTCTGAAAGCAGATCTTGTCCTTGCATTTGAAAGCTGTAATTCTATGATAGATACCCATCTGTGCATCTCAGTCACACATCAACCACATCAACCCAGCTTAAGGTCAGATATTTCTGAAAAGCAGATACTCACTTCCTTAGGAATTAAAAATAGAAACACACCTAAGCAGATGAAGATACCTATTTAGGCAGCACTCAGCAAATACTACTTCAGAATGCATGCAGGAATCAGAGAATAATTTTAGTTTGAAGGGACCTTAAAGATTATCTTGTTCCAACACCCCACCATGGGCAGGGACACCTTTTCCTAGACCAGGAATCTTAAGTGACTCCTCTAATTATTAAACCTGGAGATTCTGGCAAGACAGCTGCTGCTGTCAGCTGAGCAAGGCTAGAGAAATATGACAGTTTAAAACAAGGCAATTGCCAATTTTGGCCCATCCTTTGTTTCTGGAGAATGACATATAAATCAGGAATAGAACTGCTCAAAACCAAAACCATCCTTCAGGGAATATCACACTCATTCATATGGAAGAAATAAGTCTTGGCTTATTTCAGTCTTGTTTGCCAGGAAAGCAATTCAAAAATCATCCAGATTAAACCTTTATCAATTTCAGCTGTCTACATCTCTATTAGTTCATCGAATTGTTTTGGGACACAGACTAATGAGAATGATATGACAGCTATAATTTGAGTTTGATTTTGTACAATATACAGGTGCTTCCACAGAATCCAAACACTGATTTGGACATTCAGAGAAATGAGAGGGAAAAAAAAGAAGATTAAAAAATACACAGCTAAAAATGTACATGAGGTACACATTACTGGGTTTCCCTCTAATAGACTAATTTAGGTTTAGACTCTAGATCTTTTTATTTATCTTTCACATGGCAGATGAAAATGGCAAAACCAGGACCCTTCCACTCTGCTGGAAACAGAATGAAGATTTTTATTATTGTTTTCATTAATAATCATGTATGGCATTCTGTCAATAAACAAAAAAAGACACACACCTATATTCCTAGAGCTAATTATGTCACTATGCTATTATTAATAAACAGCAGCAGATGCAAGCTTAAATATTTCACACAATGTGAAATTCTAACCTTACTTTTCTAATGGAATGTGCTAAAACCAAGCAGACCTCATCTACCTGAATGCAGAAGAGACAAGTGAACTAGCCAGAAACAGCAGGTATTAGTGCCTGTATCACTATGGGTTCTTCAGGAAGAGGTACTGTGGTGTTGACTGTGGCATTTACATGCCTGTGTAAGTTACACTGCTCTAAAATAGAAATGCTCTCCCAAGTAGGAGAATTCATATCCTGAGAAAGGTGACACAGAAATGTCTGTCTGTGATTTATTGATTTGTAATGCCAAGTAAGGTCAGCTCAGCAGCAAACAGATATCCTATATTAACTATGCCTTTCTCTTGGGAATGCACAAAGAAACTTCTGGTAACAAGATAGAAAGCATAATTTTTCAGGTTCACAGAAACTGTGGATGAATGTTGTCATTTGCAGAATTTGCACAATTAAAACCACATTTTCAAACATTTCCAAGCCACAGAGATCAGCTGAATAGGTATGAATTGGAACAGTCCATATTGCCCTCATGGTAACTTGCATGCTTGATTAACCCAGAAGAGTTTACAAATATGTCTCATCATTTTATCTCTCTGTCAGTCTTAGCAAACGGCTTTTCAAAAAAAAAAAAAATACAGCAGGGAAAAACCCCACAAACCTAAACAGACAGGAAATACTGTGGCTATACCTTTCTACAGCCTGTACCCCTACTGTCTGCTGACAGCACAAGGCAGACCAGATTCCCTCTCTATACCTGAACCTTGGCTTCTTGTTACTTGACCACCAGGAATGATATGCAGGGCATCTGAAGGTTACTCTGGAAGCTGGGCAATAAGCCAAGAAAGGTGTGTGGCAGCCCCATCAAAACCATTCCACTTCACAGCTCTTCTACCCTTCCAGAGCCTTGGAAAGAGTTAAAAGAGTACAGGAATATGGGGTGAGGTTCAAGAGCAGTTCAGACATAGCAGCAATGATCTACGTGCACCATGACACATAACTCATCCTTTGAGTGCTGTTACCAGTTTTCAAAAGGAGCAGTGAAACACCCTTGGTTCCAAACACTGAAGAGGAGTATAAAACCCAGTGTGCCATGAGAACCAAAGCACCATCAAGGGGATCAGCAGATCTAAATGAGTTTTTAATGGTAATAAGTGCTGACTGACCTTGCCATTAACTAACTCACATGTCTACAGCAGACACTGAAATATTCAAAGTGCACTAGCAATAGGTTAAGTGGACAAACTCATCCTTTAGAAAGAATTAACTCATCCTTTAGAAAGAATTAATAGTCCCCATTTATAAATACACAAAGTGCACTAGCAATAGGTTAAGTGGACAAACTCATCCTTTAGAAAGAATTAATAGCCCCCATTTATAAATACACTATTTTCCTGAAAGGCAATTTTCAACAATGTTCTTGAGGTGTCTATCAGCTGATATCTGAACAATACCACTGAAAAATTGCTAGAGTTATATGGAAAACCACCCAAAGGATGGGACTTGAGTAGAGCTGGACAGAATTACCACGCAACTGAGACA